ATATATATATGTCTATACATATATATATATATATATATATATGTATATATATATTTATATATGTCAATATACATGCATATATATATATATATATATAAATGTGTATTTTTTTTTAAATAAATAATATTTTCAGCAGTATTTTTATATTCACATTGTTCAGTCAGTTCTTATCCAGTGCAGGCCTCCTCCCAGTTAGCAGTGTTAACTGGATTTATGCCAGTAGAGGGCAACCTCCACCACTATCACCAATGTAATTATCTTTTTGTCCACAGGAGGTCACCAGTGACCAGCCAACCCACGGTTCCCCCAGCAACGCTCTCAGGTATGTTTACTGTACTGTAACTTAGTCACTGGTGAGCTTTCTATCTCCCACACAGTGTCTCTCACATTACGCATACACTTCCTCTTGTAGGCACTGTTGCCAGTAAAATGCATTACAGCATCAGAAATAGTGGAGCCACAGTATATAATGAGTGCTAATTGCTTGTCATGACTTGCTGAGGTGGCGTTGAGTGATATTCTGCTGTTCACCTGCTCTTTCTCTCTCTTTTCCTTCTCCTTTTCTACACAGGTGTTGGCTAGTCTACGAACTGTCAGAAGCAACTTCACAATTCTCGCCAATGTCACGACTCCCACCAACAAGTCAGTTCAGCTCTTCCAGCTTTGATGCAACAGTTTCTTTATTTCTGCTCTGCCCCCTTATGGCCATCAGTGTATCCTCTCCAATAAAGCATTTTTATATTTTATTCATGATGAATAATGAAGAAAATAAAGCATATTCAAACAGCCAAACTCTTAATTCTACCATAAAAATAAGATTTTATGCTAGGGACTTTATTTTATGTGAAAATATTTTTTTATATAGAATTTAATGATATATATATATATATATATATATATATATATTATTTTTATATTCACATTGTTCAGTCAGTTCTTATCCAGTGCAGGCCTCCTCCCAGTTAGCAGTGTTAACTGGATTTATGCCAGTAGAGGGCAACCTCCACCACTATCACCAATGTAATTATCTTTTTGTCCACAGGAGGTCACCAGTGACCAGCCAACCCACGGTTCCCCCAGCAACGCTCTCAGGTATGTTTACTGTACTGTAACTTAGTCACTGGTAAGCTTTCTATCTCCCACACTTGCACTCTCCCACACAGTGTCTCTCACATTACGCATACACTTCCTCTTGTAGGCACTGTTGCCAGTTAAATGGATTACAGCATCAGAAATAGTGGAGCCATATGGGAAACAGGTCTGGAACCTAACCAGATGCTTTAACTAGCCAAATAACAGCCCTGAGCCGCTAGTTTATATCAGGAACTCTGAAGCGTATCAGCAGTGAAGGCGCTCCACATGTTGAACTTCTAAAATAAATGAGCTATGATAAAAAGCAGTTATATAATTATATATAAATATTTTTCTTATTTAAAGGGGTCATATGATGCGATTTCAAGTTTTCCTTTCTCTTTGGAGTGTTACAAGCTGATTGTGCATAGATAAGATCCCTGAAGTTGCAAAGACTAAAGTCTCAAAACCAAAGAGATATTCTTTATCAAAGTTAAGACTCTGCCACGCCCCCCTAAAACGGCTCATTCTAACACGCCCCCACATATCTACCACACTATATGGAAATATTTGCATAATGCCGCCCAAATGAGCACGCAAAGAAAGAAGGCGTGGTTTCAGTAACCGCAGTTAATTGTTGAAGCAACATGTCAGGGAGACGCTGTGTTTCTAGGCAAAAGCA